ATCCCGGTGAGACCCCACCCACCGCCTTGGCCGGCTCCGATTTSAGCTCCTCGGGGTCCAGCACGTCGACGCGCAGATCCCGGAAAGTTTTCCGGAATTCCTCGTAAATCCGATCGTCCACCTTGGTGAGGTTCAGGAATTTGGGGTCCACGGAGGAGATGAGCTGTAAAGGGAGGGGGAGGATCAGTTGTGAACCCCAAAAAGCCCCCCCAAACCCCCGGAGCACCCCCAAAAACTCACGTTGAAGTAAACCTGGGCGTGCTGATGAGCTTTCATGGCCCAGGCCAGTTCCACGCGGGGCTGCGGAGCAGGAGCAGGTTCAGGGAGGGGTGAGACCCCCCCAAAAGTCCCTTTTCCCCTTTTGGGGACCCTCCCCCCCTTTTTGGGGCTTTTCTCCCCCTTTTTGGGGCTTTTCTGCCCCTTTTTTGGGCTTTTCTCTCCCCTTTTGGGGGTTTCTCTTCCCCCGTTTCAGGGCGCTTTTCCTCCCTTTGGGATTCTTCTCCTCCACTTGGGGGGCGCAGGGGACAAGGTTGGGACCCCCCACCCACCCCGGGACTGGGACCCCCCAAAGCCAGGACCACCAAAATCAGGGCCGGGACCCTCCTGGATTGGGACCCCCCAAAGCCAGGACCCCCCTGCCAGGACCGGGACATCCCCCTGAGGACTGGGACACCCCAGGAATGGGATCCCCCAAAACTGGGACCCGTCAGGATTTGGAGACCCCAGGACACCCTCTCCAGGACCCCAAAGTTGGAACCCCCAAATCTGAGACCCCCCCCAAAACAGAGACCCCACCCAGACAGGGACCCACCCAGGACTGTGACCTCACAGGACAGGGAACCCCAAAGATGGAACCCCCAAATGTGAGACCCCCCAGGTCTGCGACCCCTCCCGGACCGGGACCCCCCCGCGGACAGTGACCCCGGGACCCCCGGGACCCCCGGGAAATGACCTCCAGCCCGCCCGGACCCCCGGACAGTGACCCCGGACACTGAGCCCGGGACCCCCGGACAGTGACCCGGGACCCCCAGGACCCCCCGGACAGTGACCCCCCGGGCCCCCGGGAAATGACCTCCAGCCCGCCCGGACCCCCGGACAGTGAC